TCATGTGCGCTTTGCTGGGGGTTCCGGCTACCAGGTGGAAGATAAGCTTGTCAAACGGCGACCTCGGATGCGAGGACGGGCACGTCAGAGAATTTGAAAATAGCTGCTTGATTAGTCGGAGGACCCAGTGCGGTCTACTGGCTCTAGAAGGTGACTCAGATGAAGAAACTCGTTTTGCTCCAAAACTCTAAAAGCATTCTGGAACGTGAACTCTTGACACAAATAAAAATAACACATGCATGAAAAACTACGAAGGCACCTAAGCTTTCTCCTATGATGTGAGAATGCGTGAGCATTACAGGCAGAGTTATGTTGGCGCAACTTGCAATAAAGAAAGAAAAAAAAAAAGTTAAGTTGGCGCAACTAGGCGCAACGAATAGCGCGCTGGTTTCACGATCAAGAGGGCCTAGCTTCGAAACCGGGCAGGGGGTGGTTTTTTTTTAAAGATGTGGTTGTGTTGTCCCTGTTTTATTTGTTTATTCTTTCTTCATCCATGACTTAAACCAACACGCTCTTCTACCAAGCATGGTATTTTTTCTCGTGTTCTTTTTTTATTTCGCTTATTTTTTTTTGTTCGGTCACGTGACAATAGGAATCACATGAACAGAAATTTTTTTGGCCACGTCACCAGAGATTTTTTTTTTTCTTATTTCTCCTATGCTTCTGTCTTTTTTTTTCCCCTTTTTTTCGGTTTGCGCTCCCTTTTGCAAAACTCTTTGCACCAATTTCGCGTTACTTTGGCGTCAGCCAAATAATTTTATTTATGGAAGGGAATTCTGCCGTACGTATCTTATGTTACTATTACCAACCCTGGCTTGCAATACGCATAGAGAATTTCGTCCGGCAACCAGTTTGGGAATGACGAGGCTAAATTTGTGTTATAAATTTTTTTAGGTACAAGCATAATTTTGGCCTCGTTATCCGTCGGTCTCTAAGATTGGCTCGTCAAGTATCTTTTCAGAAAGAGTGGACGACTGGCATTTTTAGAGTGCACGTGTGTCGACCAGAGTGAACATTGCTGAAGCGACTCCAGTGTGATTTTGGCCGTAAATAACTGGAGGCCCCGGGCAAACCCACCCTATGTAGAAAAGTATCTACTTTTCTGGTTTCATAGAGAACTATGAAAGGGACGAATCCCAGCCGAGTCAAACTACCGGCTTGCAAACGCAATCGTGTTGGCAATAGCTCTAAGGAGTTTGTATGACTCTCTCTGGCGGTGTGCAGAGGGTAAAGGTACGGAGGTAATATATGCTTTCGCCTAGTCACCTCGCAAACGGTTGGGTATTGGCTACAGAGATCCATTTCGCTTTGTTTTATCACCGGGATTATAGCTTGATTTCTGTATTCCTAATTTCACAGACAGAACGAAATCGCTTTTCTCGTGTGGCGTCACGGCGGTGAGACAGAAATCAATCAGTGTAATGGAATTCGACGCTTGTGCTCGTTCTATAGCGCTTCTAAAAACCGTGCGATCACGGCTGTGCAACGTCAACAATGCATAAACTGCAGTTACTTGTACACGTTTTGCATCGTGAGGGAACGACTATGACTGGGTAAACAGGAATAGGGAGAATGGGTGCGTGTGATTTGTTGAAGTTCGAATCAACAAATCAAGCTTCAACGAATGCGATAGTATTGCATTCACTCAACCAGCTATATGAGTTTTCAGACGGTATATACCTTCCAAGTATGCGATTCGTGTTCTGCCAGTGGTATTTCAGCTAAATTAAAAAGCAAAATCCACGCTGAAAAAAAAAAAAAAAAGTATACGGTGACTCGAGCCGCTTCCGCGCAGAATCATGTTTCACGTAAGCGTAATCTTGGGGTCGATGCACGACGAGGGGTCTTCAATCATAAAAATAGTTTGATTACGATTATTGGCAACGCTAAAAATTTGAAAGCCAAGCAGTGAAGACAACGGTGTTCTTATAAATATTATATACATTTCATTTTACACTGTTTGAATACGCTGCCGTCGTTATGTTCTTGAATTATTGGCTAGCTTGTGGCGGACAGGGAAGTCTTGCAGGACCATATGATAGGACCTACACTAAACCTGCCGCGCTGCGAAAAATGTTAGTCCGGTGCATACAAGCTTGTTCAAGGCGGACGGAGCGTTGCGCATCCGGCAAAGCGCATTCAGTCGCTGCCCTCGGCGTTTTTCTTTTTTTCGAGCAGCGAAATAATTTTTGGTCCAGCAGCAGGCCCCCTCTTCGGCGGGATAGGCCGGATTAACGGAGGCGTCTCCTAATCCATTCTCCGTGTTGTCCCCTCGGGGGAAGGGCGGTAAACAGGGGGGGGGGGGGGGGGGGGGGGGGGGGGGGGGGGGGGGCGGGGGGGGGCGGGGCGGGCGGGCGGTGAAGGAAGGAAAGGAGGGCAGGGGAGGAGGAAACGCAGAAAAAGTGGAAAGCGCGAACTGTACGGCGGCCTTTAACAGTCCGAAATATCTGCAAGGGGGGAAGGGAACTGAAGCCGCCACCCCCCCCCCCCCCCCCACCCCCCCGGGCCCGCTACCCTCTTACCCTCCGTTTTTTCCTCTTCCGACGCAACTTGTATGGTAGAACGCTCCTCGACCTCGAGTTGTGTCGGCTTTTTGCGAGGCGATTCCTCCGTCCCAGAAAATAAACCTCCAGGACAATTACAAACTTATCTTACTATATGCCAGCGTCACTCGGGCGGCCTTCGATCGGATTACTACCAGCGTGCAAGGGGTGGCGAGGTAGTTTGCCAGGTCGCTTCAAGGTTTTTCTTAGCCTCAACCTCCTCCTTGTCCCTGGCCGTTTCGAACTGGATGAGTCTCGTAAAACAGTGTGTTCGTGTGATCACTACTGCGTGATGCAGGTTAAAGGCCCCCCCCCCCTCACCCCCGCCCCCCCCCCCCCCCCCCCCCCCGGGCTGGCGGTCACAATTACTGATCCATGGTCACACGTCACTCTGCACTGGCAAATATTTCAGCACATCCGGGACACTCGTCGTCTCATTTAATTGCCTG